AGTAGCAGTAGCAGTAGTAGTATATAGCAGTAGCAGTAGCAGTAGTAGTAGTCGTCGTCGTCGTAGACGTAGTGCAGCAGCAGCAGTAATTCTGTAGTAGAATTGCTCATGCCAGTGGCTTCAGCAGCAGTTTTTGGTCAGCAGTCGGTAACTAGCGGTTCGTCATGACCAAGAGTAGCTACTTCGCGTGAGCGCACAGCGGACAAAAGAAACGAAAAAACTAATTCCCGCGACTGCCTCTACGACGCCCAAGCATTATCGCAACACTGGCAAGTTAATTCTCACAGCTTACAGCACTCGACTATGTCTAAGAGATTCATAGTTTTCAGCTTCGACACACGCGGAGCTGCCATACGATTTGAGCTGCAGAACTCTTTGGGAAGTGGGGGCAAGGGCTGAGATATCAGATTTCTACACTGAAAAGTCTTTAGAGTCAGGGGGCGGAGGTACTCTGGGCAGGCGTAGCCCACAGTTCCGCCAACTCGGTGCACCTTGTGCTGCGAAGCACCTCGGCCGAAGCACGGACAGTGCAGCCGATACTGTCCGCAATCAGGGTCAGTTGGAGCAGTACAGTGCTGCTGCATTGCACTGCTGACTTCAGTCAATCGCCGGATCTCAACACTGTCTTGGAAACGGCTTGTCTTCCACCTCATTGCATGCCATGATGCTGGACAAGCATGCAAGGCCTCAGAGATGGGCACGGGCTGCACAGATGCCCTCACCCTCTAGCAAGTGTTAAAATCCCAAACTCAAATCTTCCAAGTATGTCGAAAGATTTGTCCGTGTGTCTATCTAGATTCATAACGTATGCGGCATAGTGCCATACCCTTGGGGCATCTCTTATGCAGATACTCATACTCATCCACTGGCCTAGACAGTAGAGCCCTGTGCCATAGTGCGTGCTGCACTCTGAGCAGGCAAGGCTCCAAAATCCGCCATTTTGGCCGTGCCATTTTTATCCAGCCTCGAAAAGCTGGGTGCATCTGCTGCAAAAACACAGGCGATTTCTATGGTTCAGGGAGCATCAAAGAACCGTGGCAGACATGGTGCTTCGGCACTGCGCCGCTTGGCTCGTCGATGCACAAACTGCCGGCCAGATGCAACGAAATGATCAAACCTCTGCCATACCAAAGCAGTTTGTCATGGATGATTGCGAGCAGGCTGCAAAATGTTCTGCGACTTGATGTCTCGATGAAAGGCCCTGCATGCGGCAAGCTTTTGAGGCGAACCCCTGCACCAGATTCACTAGATGAGCTCAAACCCCTGACGCCAGAGCTGCTGTAATCTAGACTCTAGGGCACACTGTAAAAACGTAAGGCGTATTCCGGGTTATAAATACACAGCTCGCCTCGTCCTGCAAGACTCCTGCTCTGTGAAAGTAGGAGGCATCACCGATGCATGCATCAAAAGTGGCAAGCACCACATATGCTCATGCATGAGATGCAATTAGCACACGGTCGGTTTTTCGCTGCCCTCTCCCACTGGCTGCCTTGGGGTCATATTGTGCAGGTGTGAGAGCCCGCAAGCCGCGTCGAGTGCAGCGCTGAGGCGTTCTCGGCCACCGAAAAGCTCCTCCACCACGTCTCCGGCTAGGAAGCCCACAATGCTGCACAAGACATTGGAATTTCTCACTCAATCGCACCGACATCCCGCTCTCCGAACTCCGAACTCGAAAAACCGTAACTGCAACTGCCAAAACACTCCTTGGCTTTGCATCTTACACCTTTGCTTCGCAAAACCTGGAAGCTGCTTGGCTGGCTCGCGACATTGTATCTTGAAGAATTCACGGTACATGTCGGAGCCCTCTGTTTTGCTCAGGAGTTCTAAACTCCCAAACTCTCCCGCGCAGGCTCCTTGCGATGCCGACCTGGAGAGTGGCGATCTGCTGTAAATATTGGGGCATTTAGGGCCGGAGTCTTGGAAGCTTAGATGAACTCGTCGTCTTAGACAAGTGGTTGGATTCTGCTAGTCATACAGTTATACGTGGGGTCCGGGCGCATTGCTTTGCCAAGCATAAAGTGCGCCGTGCTTTTGGGAATAGGTATTGTTGTCCTATGGCTCCCATTCAAGACGGATCTTGTCCGAGCTGCTCAAGTTGGAAGAGGCGACGGTTTAGCCGGTCACTCGAACGTACGCCAATCGATCCTGCTGGGTCTGCTCTCCCTGCTTCCAAGCAAAGGGGGCAAGCAGACGCAAGGCTCCACTGCACTGGCGAGCTCACCGGTTCACATCTGGGGTCCCGGATGTACAACAAGGCATGTGATCTCCCTAAGGACGAGTGATGCAGATGTTTTGCAGAACAGGTGGCTCCGTGATAGTCTTTGTGCCGCATCACCACCAGCACAGAACCTTGCTTTGCTGGGCCAGGCATACTCGTGGCAGTATTTAAGTACTTCCGCCTCTCCATTACGTGCTTGAGGTTGCTTGAGCCTGCTTGAGCTGAGGTGCTCATAGATGAGGCTGCGCCATCCAGTGGCGGCATGCCTCTGACAAAGCAAAAGGAGCGGGTTCTTTCAGCGCGATTGGAACCACAGAAGTGAGAGCGAATATGAAGGACGACAGTCGTGGAAACAGCAGCTCCTGACAAAAAACGGGTGGGCGCGAGGGTCAGCAAATTAGAGCTGGAAGAAAGGAGGAAGTTCGTCAGGTAAACTTACCTGATGCTTTGCAACGAAACGCGAGAAATATAAAGAAATGATGAGTAAAGTGACTTAGAGTGTGTGGACCGGCTTGCACCTTGCATGCCTAGACGGTGCCCTCCCTGGATCCATCACACAGCCCCAACATGCGAATCAAATTTGTTCTCTGCCGATGCCGGGCCGCGCATGTCGAGCAGCTAAGTAATTCTGGTTTAAGTACCAGCACCAGGATTTGGCATTCGGGGTCACAGTTGAAGCAACATCAGCAGCAGCAGCAGCAGCATCATCATCATCATCATCATCATCATCACCATGTTCCAGCAACAGCAGCAGCAGCAGCAGCAGCACATCTTTGTTGGCTCGGGCACGGATGGGTTCCCAACTCGGTAATGTTTTTCGATTCCCGACACATGGTTTCTGACTTGCCTTCCAGGCACCTGACTTCGACAGCGGTTAATGTTGAAGCATTGGAATCAGGCCTCGCACTCCGGCTCGGACTGTCCGTCCCAAACCCACGCACTGCGGTGGTGCGGATGCCTGAATAGAAACTTTCACCCTCGAATAGAAACTTTTAGCCTCTTCCCAGCGGCCTGGCAAAGCCCATCAGGATTACGAGGTTCGGATGTCGGAAACGTGACAGGACGCGAACCTGGCCGGTCGAAAAGCAAACATCCAACGGTTGAGATGCCTTTCGACCTTGTGGGTGTGGGATGCTGCCTGTATGAGACCTCGCTTACCTAGATACTGCAGGAAGCAGACAAAACACGCACAGCTCGACCCTACCGGCAGAACCCACAGCCATGCTGAGGATTCTTGGGAACGTTCTGTTCCCCACCTCGTCTTCAAAGCCACCTTCTTCTGGCACCTGCAGGACCTGCCAAGATATTTCAAACTGTGAAAACCAGCTCCAGCTTGCTCTACCTCTACCCTCTTCTTCCGCCATATGAGCAATAACCTTCACTGGGTATTAGGGTTTACACTCTCACAACTCGGACAAGCCGGGCGAGGATCCATAGGCGACAGGCGGCGTGAAAACATTGGAATCTAGGATGGTATTAGGGTTAGGGTTTAGGGTTTAGCGTTCGGAAAACTGCACAAACCCGGGAAGGTCTGATGCAAGAAGCGGGGCAGATCGCTCCGATCGCTCCTGAAGTCACACTGGCCACTCTGCACATCAGCACTAGCACCGTAAACAGTAGTACAGTATAATATGTTATAATATGGTTTTATTCTGTACAGCATAGTATAGTATAGCATAACATAGCATAGTCTATTATATTATAGTATGGTAGAGTATTAGCATAGCATACTGTAGTATAGCAAAAGAGTCGTGCCTTGATCGCCACCTCGGTTCCATCCTTCATGGTCCCCTTATACCTCAAGCATGGAACAAGTACATTGGAAGTGTCTTCGAAAGCCAGCATGCCGTATGACTCGCCAAGTCACACCTGGCCGAAAGACCCAGAGCCCAGTAAGCAGGATTTGTCGAAGCCTTGCGTTGCGTTTCGGAGGTCCTCCTCGCTGTACCTGCCAGGCCATGGCCACGCATCAGCTCGTATATGAAAGTCGAGACTCTAGAATATCAAATCATAGTAGAGTATATATAGGACTTGCGGGACTCAAACAGGAATTTGGGTTATAGCATGTTGCAATGGTTTGAAGGCATCAAGGGTGTGTGAAGCGGCGAGCGAGCCGAAAACAAGATGGGGCTGACTGATCAGCAACTCCATGGAATGGCCCATTGAGGCCCGGGATGCTCAAATCTCTTGAGATACTAACGACATGCTGCCCAGCCGCTCATTGTTGGCCTGGTTCAGGTGTGAGTCTGTTCGAGGGGCATCTCCATTCAGGTACTCGCCTCACTGCAACAAGCACACGATATCACACGATTCGGCGAGGCGCTGCGAAAGTAAGGCTTATTGTTGTATCGCCTGCCCCTCCACTGGAGATGATCTCGAATGCGGGAAGACATAGGAAGTCCCCGCGACCCAGGTCCAGGTGCCTTTAACGGTTTAACGCTCCTTGCAGCCGGGCCGCGCCACTTTTCCAGAAATCCACCAAATTCCATTCAGGTCAAAAGCATGCATACCCTGTTTTCTACAACCATATGAGCCACACGTTCAGAATTATAATTGGGCTGAAAGGCTGGTGCTGGCTTAGAAAACAATCTCAACTTTCCGATAAGTGGGATTTGCAACATCTGGCAAGTGTCTGTGCTTCGATGTAGAACACCATCGCAACCGTCATGTGACAATACTGAGACTGGGCTGAAGCTGCTGCAGTCTGTCCTTCCAACTGTTCATGCCAAGAGCTCTTAGACAAAAGATGACAAAAGACGGTGGTGTACCGAAATACAAGAGTCATAACTGATGACGATTTCAAGCGCCAAATGCGCGCGTCTGAGTTCCTGCCCACGGCTCTACCACGACTTGTCGCCTCGCGCTGGTTCTGGGATGAAGCACATCGCGAGTGGAGTGTAAAACCTCAACCCTGCCCTCGATCACACGCTTAATCCGCTGCATGCTTCGGCGAGCATCTCCCGTAGATATCAGAGACAAGGGCTAGGAAGCCGGATTCGGCAACCTGAACCTACATTAACAGCTTCACGCTCATCGAATTTCATTAACGTTTCAGGGCTGCTCCAATTGGGGTTCCCTTGTGTGGGACCCTACTTTTGAGCACCCGCATGCGTGCGCAAGCCATGCGATAACCAACGATTGGCACTGCGCTACATGTGTCTGTGTAATTTCTGCAAGATGGTGAGCTGTTTCTAGTCTCGTGCCGGGCTCGCCATGGCCCCCACACATGTCATCCGGCAAGCTATTTACAATTCAGATCTTTGAAACTAAGAAGCCTTGGTAGAGTAAAGATGCCAACAAAAATCCGGTCATCGCTTGTCTCACGAGTGCAGATGTCACTCCAAGCAACCTGATTCAAGCCAACGGTTGATACCGAAAAGGATTGGAAGATGCTGTCCATCTAACAACGTGTGCATACTGAACAAGGACATCCGAAGCTGGTTCTGAAACGCGAATCTGCAGCACCTGCCGGGTGGTGATGGAACGAATCAGACTTCGAACCAAGCAGCATTGTCGAAGCTGCAAAAAGGACCGAACCGAGCGTCGATGCAGCCAATGCCCACTTGAGCTCCACTAACATGCCAGGTCTAGAAACCTTCGAATCCAGGGTCTCTAGGCGACGTTCCAGGCTTGTCAACATCTCCAGTATCCTCTCTTGGCTGGCACTATCGCATGACGGTGGGCTGTGGGTGATGTTGACCACTGGCGATGTAGTGTTGTCTTCCCTGCGCTGGGATTCTACCTCGCCACTTTTCGAGATTGGCGTGCAAAGCCCGACATCCACCACCAAAGGAATGTGATCGGACCCCAAGCCGGCAACCAGTTTCTGTCTGGACTGCGGCGGGGGAGCTGCAAGAACACCTGCACAGATTCTCCAACGTCTGATTTTGCAGCCTGTGCGTTGTGAGTGAAGAATTGCAACTTACACACCACCTTTCTGCCCCACACTTGTGGGCCATGCTCCTGCATCTCCCGCCTGTCACTGCTAATCTGGCAGCACGCGAATGGTCTGGTCGACGCTGTGCGGGCAAGAAGAACCTGGGAGCGGATGGCGGCATCACACAGTGGACTGACCCACTTTCAATGGCTGCCGGTGAGGTTTCGGCTCTCACAGCTCGGACGCTTCCGGCCAGGCGTCTTCGATGCGATAGGCTAGGATTTTTGGCTTTCGGGTTTCGAGCATGTACTGAATGCGACTCTGCTTGCTCAGCTCCCGGCACGAAATCCAAGGTCTCCAGTGCATTGGTCATCGGCTCCATTCCAAGAACATGCGCATATGCGCTTATCATCTGATACTTCAACCACTTTGTCGTCAGCATCTGGTACAAAGGTCCTGGCAGATCTGGCAGGTTCCACTGGTACCCTGCGTTGAAGCCTCTCTTAGACAGGTCAACAACGTCACGAGCGGTCCTTCCAAAATCCGTGATGGATGGTATCCAGCTGATTTGATGGCTGCCACGAGAAAACCGATGGAGTCTTGCCCCAACACGCCTTTCGTGATGAGCTCGTACCTCGGAGGCAAGTGGATGCAACTAGCTGTGCTGAACTCAAGGCAATCGAACCCGGGGTGCTTCTCGGTGCAGGGCGGCCGAAACATAGACCTTTCTTGAAACGTAGAGAGACACATCAGGCAGCAAGCCAGGAGAAGCAACTTTGCGATGAAGCACGCATACGGAGATGATAGTTATAAGGATGAACAACAGGATTCACACTTTCTTTTTGAAAGGACACCGTTTCACAAGGGAAGCATCGTGCAAGCAACACCCAGCGAATCCCATCTAAATACATTTGTTAATCCGCAACATCAGTTTTTGCCTCCTGCATTGCTGAGCGAGTCGCGAAGCAGGGTTCTGAGATCATCCAAGTAAATTCAAGCATTTGTATGCCAAGAAAACATGCTCAGCTCCACTATGTAAGGGTCATCAGCGTGCTAGTTTCGCACAAGGCAAGGACATCGAAGCAACATGTGCAAGTGTTCATGAGTAAACATCAATAAAACAACGAAAAGACGTCGAGTCCTCTGCGCCTGACCAGAGCCTCATCAGACAACTTCGTGACTAGGCTAACATCGAAAACAACCTCGCTCCAGACCCCAGACATGTTCAATATAGTGCATTCACATCTAACGCTCTGCTCACAGTAGGATGGTCAGCCTGGCCTACGGGAGCACACCTTTTCCGCAACCCACGAGCCCTTCTTTTGCTGGACAGGAGCTTGGGGGACTGGTGCCATGGCTCGCAGCATCACGCGACGCGAACACACAACTCCTACTATCGCGACCGCGTGTTGTTTTGCCGACCTTGGACTCAGCCTCTCGTGCCAAACTCGTCGAGCATGCATGGGTCCGCTTGGCGTGCGAAGCCATCGGGCCGGGCCGGAGAGGCAGATAATGCCGCACCAATGGCTCACGCACACCACACCACGGCCCCTGGAGTGGCGTCGGAAGACCGTCGTCGACCGTCGACTTGACATGGTCCTTTATGGCGTCACATGCGTCACCATGCGTCACCCGTTGGGGAGGTGCCTTATGTTGCGATGCCACGTTGGTGTTCCCACTGTCGAGAGATGGCTTGGCAGACGGAAGCGCCTGCCGCTGAGGACGGGTCTGCCTGGCCACTGCCGAGCGCCGGAAGGCCAAGTGGAGGGAAAACCGGGGAGTAGGATGCTAGAAGTAATTGACCGAAGCGTTTTTCAAGCAGGCGCCAAACACTTTGGTGTGTGGGAAAAATCTCATGGCTTTGTCATGCAACAAAGACTGCATTCTGCGGTGCTGGTGTTTACTTGGCGTGGCGGAAACGCCTGCACTTTTTGACATGGTACCGGCACAGGCATTGGCTGCATCTCTGCCGCATTGCGAGAACTTGTTCATCGTTTACCTTCAAACTCTTATAGTGCACAGTGCACGGCACCAAGCGTCCACAGGAGCATGGACCACGGGAATCGGATGCATCATTGATTCCGATATGTTTGGTAGACTTTGCTGATGCTTCTCACTCATTCCCGGGCGTCGTCGCGTTCCCACTTGCACGGTCACCCGCGGTTTTGCCGTCCTTTTATGTGTGTATAGCACTGTATAGCTGGACGGATAACACATGGCACGAAGGCGCTCAGATGCGAGGCACTCCCGAGTGGTAAGCGCATCCGCCTGCGCCTGCCACGGCCTGCTTTGAGTGTTCTCTTTTTCTGCACCCAAGGCATCTTTTTGCTGTTCACGGGGTCGCCATGCTCGTCGCCCAATCCAGGGACAGACTACGGAGGCATGTCAGGGCATGCGGCTGGCCAGATGGGGGCGGAGGCCGATGGCTCTAGGAGGTCGCTGAGAACCGGCGAGCGCAGCCCCAGCAGTACACTGCAAGGGCGACACGACAGGGGTGCCGACCGCAACTTGGGGCGCGCTGAGTAGCGACTGCGAGGAGGCCGGACCATCGCGCAACCCAAGTGGTGATCGCGGCAGCTCGCGCCGCTTCGGCACAGAACTTGCAGCCAGCCTCGGTACCAATGACTCAATGACGACAAGCCGGCATCTCCGGGTCTGGCCGAGCTCCGGGTACTGGTGGCGGGCTTCACCTGGCATGTGAAGGGTGGCACGATTGTGGGCCCACTGCTAAAGGAAAAACGGCCATCGCCACAAATGTGCGAACTCGACCGGGATCGCGGGCGGAAGCGTCTTCAGTTAGCGGCTCATCGAGCTCAAACTCTGGACTCTGGATGCAGCTGGGTCTGAAGTCGATGAACAGCTCCCACAATAAACTACCACTGTTCCATCACCAGTCGAGCTCTAGTCCCAAGTGATTGCCGCTTACTTCGTTTACGGATACAGTCCGAATTGGGCAAGCTCCGCCCTTTGACGTTTTTCATTGGAGTGGCAAGGATCGACCGTCGCTCCGACATCAGAGGCTGTCACCGGGCTCCGAAGGATGGCGCCCCGTCGCCTGTTCGGCTACAGATTATATGAATCTCCGTGACCTCCACACTGCCAGAGCAAACACCCTATCGAGCTCCTGCGGCGATGTTCATATGTGGAGCTGCAGCAAAGCTGGCTCTGAAAGGGTATGGTGGAAAGCCAAGTCCCAGTTTATCCGCGCTTAACCCTTCAAAACTGAAGCCGCCGTGCGGTCGCATTGCGCGAGACCGAAAGCCAAAACAACAGGGCCGTTTCCACGCAGGCCTTGAATAATGCGGGGGATTTTTTGAATGTTCGAATAGAACCTGATCCAATGCTCAAACCCAAGGCATCACAGAAACCCATGAGTGCAGTTACGGCACACCGGACTGGCGATGGTCTGCTGCTCGGAGTTTGGGTCCACAAATGTTTGAAACTTGCCGCTCGCAACACCTTGCCTTCAGGGGTGAGGCTCTGGCGCAGTACCAGCTCTATAGCAGCTAGCAGCAATATTGCGTCTCCTGCAACTGCTGCTGCTGCGGCTTCTGCTGCTGCTGCTGCTGCAGCTCCTGCTACTGATACTGCTACTGCTTTGAGCACACCACC